GCGTCCTCAGAACAACTCTGGGAGGGAGGTGCTGGTACCACCCTCATTGATAGCTCAGCTTATAGGCTTGTGGGTTGAGAGGTGGAAAGGACTTTACCATCCATCTCCCTCATTTTACAGACAAAGAAACTGAAGGTCAGAGAGGCCCACTGGTAGCTAATTTCTTCTTCCCCAGACTGATCCTTCTTTTCCAGCTCCCATTCCTATCAAGGGCCCCCCATTTGCTAGGCTGGAGTCATCTTTGATTCACACCCCACCCCCAATTTTGGATCTTCTCACATTAAATCAGCTTCAAGCTTCCCCCTGCTGATGCTTTCAGATTGGCCCCTGCCTCACGGGAGCCTTGTCGCCACCTCCCTTCCCATAGATTCTTTCTCCCTGCAGCCTCTCCCCTGCATCCCACCATGGGACGAATCTTCTTACAGTTCTGCTTTCAGCATGCTACTTCTGTGCTCAGCAACCTCCAGTGGCTCCCTACTGCCTATCCCATTTCCATAATCTGGCCCTACACAGAACTCCCCTCCCTTCTCCTAGGATGGGCTTGTCTTCTTGCTGTTATACTCTATTTTGTCCGTGCGCCTTAACAATCCCTCTACTTCTTACCAAGAATGCCCCTTCCCCTCCCTGCCTGCCACGTCCTAGCCATCCTTCAAGGGCACATCCAGATCCCCTGTCCTCAACAGAGCCTTTCTTATTGACTCCTGCTCACAGTGACACCCCCCTTTTCTGATTTTTCTTACGTTTACTGTCTCCGTGAGACAGCCAGGACCTAATCGCACGATGCCTTCTTGCACCGTCGATACTGCACGAGACATGTGGTGCACGTGCTGTGTGTCTCTATCTAATGAAGCCTTTGTGATGGCTGTTTTGGTTACTGGCCGTAGTCAGGAGACCTTGAACTAGAAGGGAACTCAGATGTTCCTTGGTTCACCCCTTCCATTTCCCTGAGGAGGTAACAAAGGCCCAGAAAATGGAAATGGTCTGTCCAGGATCCTACAGTTATTAAGCATTAGAGTCAGAATCTGCGCCCAGGTCCTCACACTCTGTCTTGTCTCCTCAGTTACAGAGTGATTTCCTGCAGGTTGGGCTCATCTCAGACTCTTTTTAAGCACCATAATACCAGGGTGCACAGGACTAGATTGGCAAGGGACATTTAACTCATTTTCAGCTGCTGATTAGAGTGAGCTCTTTGGGATCTTGGATGAGCTTTGGGGTTCCTCCCAACGCCACATTTCTGATGCTACCATAACTAAGGCCTGCGGCCCTCCACGTGGGCCATGCCTCCTAGATGTGCACATAGCTGGTCCTGGAGTGTCCAGCTTCCAGCAGAGATCTGCCTCCAGGAGCCTGCTAACCTCTGACTGGCGGGCTCTGGACCGACCCGTTGGGGCACGCCTAATGAAACCCTGTGGTAGGGGGCCACATCAGGGGCTGCCTTACATGGGATGATCTGGATGACGCGGGCTTTCTTCATGTTTGCCGGCAAGTTGCCCATCCTCATGTTTTCCTTCATTATTCGAACGTTTGTCAACTTCTGCAGGTGGAAACACAGAGAGGCAAAGTTACGTCGGGCGGTTCCGGTATTCCTCTCTGCGAGACACCATGGTGGCCCTTGGAAGAGCGGACCCGGGAGGCGAGTCTCTTGCTTATTTCACTTCAACTGCTTGGCTTCAGAAAATAGCAAGGAACACGTCCCGGGCACTTTTGTCCTTCCGTCCGTCCTTCCGTCCGTCCATCCGCCCGTCCGTCCATCCATCCGTCCACCCATCCATCCATCCATCCATGCAACAAGGATTTAGCAACCAGCCACTCTATGCTTTGCACTAGGAATACAAAGACATCGACAAAACCAGCCCTGTCCTTAAAGAATTAACCCTGCTTTGGAAAGTAAGATTACAGCACCAGGATCTGAGACTATGGGAATACTTGGAAGGCGGTGTGGTTTTAGCGGCTAGAGTCCTGGGCCTGGGGTCAGGAGCCCTGAGTTTGAATCTTATCTCAGACACTCATCAGCCCATGTGATCAAAGGTAAATTCCTGTCTTTCTCAGGGACCCAGTTTTCTCATCAGTAAAAGGGGGATGGCAATATTTGCACACCCCCCATTTGTTCTTCACTACAACACCTGTAAAGCGCCTTTCACTCAAAGAAATGTGGATTGTATTATTAGGCCGCATTTCAACTTCATGATACATTCAATTTTATATGGAAATATGAATTACATTATTATTGTCATTTTGTTAGGGAGGCATTATGGTTTTGTGGTTAGCGTGCCAATATTAGAGACAGGAAGCCCTGGGTTCAGGTCCTCCCTCTGACATATCCTGGTCAATGAAATCACGGGTTCGGTCCAAAACAATGATCGCTACTATTATTACCATGCTATCTCTCTCCTTCTTATCCTCCTACTCTGCATCAACTCCCCCCAGCTCACTGGTCTGGAAACACTTCCTAATAATAACGGTAGCCCCACATCTACAGTGCTTCAAGGTTTATGGGATAATTTCCTTACAATGACCCTGCTGAGAAAGAAGTAGACGAATTATCTCCATTTTACAGATGAGGAAACTGAGGTTCAGAGGGGGCAAGTGACTTGCCCACAGTGGCAGAGCTCATGCGTGCCAGAGCTGCCCAACCCTCTTCCTACTCGGTCATGGGGTCAGCTCCCCTTGATGGAGCATTCTAATTCTAATGGCCCAGGGAGGTGGGTGGTGTATGGATGATCTCTCTGCTTCAGAGGTAAAGGGATTTGTCCAGGATTTGCATCCAAGGTCAGCCCTCTTTCCACCACACCATACCTGTCCCCTTTCTGAATCTGCTTTCCTACCCAGGGTTCATGTTGCTCATACGTTTTTTAATACCAACATGTGTCCATCTCGACGCTTCTTCTCCAGCCCAGAGACGTTGCTGGGAGGCCCCGGACCCAATGTTAGCACCTACTCTGAACTCTTCCTCGAGGCCAATTTTGTCCAAGGGCGCCGTGGGGCTGTGAAGGGATTGGAGATGCTTCTCCAGGGAGGCTACGTCCAGCTCTGTGTCTCCGTAGAGGTAGTATTCTAGTAAGGCTTGATAGATGAATGTATACTGCATCTGAGTGGGAGAGGGAGAGAAAGAAACAATGAAGGGTCGAAGGTGAGCAGTGCGGGGGGGGGAGTCTTGGGCCCTCTGACCCTACCTAGTCAGGCTGTCCTCCTTGGTCCTAAAAAGGAAGGTGAGGGTAGGTGTGTGAGTGGAGGGGAGAGCAGAAGAGGGGACACAAGCTGAAGACCAATCATTATTTGTGTGGAAATTTCTTCTCCATAGAAAAAGATGCTCATGCAGTTCAGGGCCCAGCTTCTGAAAGCAGGCCAGGTAAACCTGAACAGTTTTATTTTTTCTTAGTTTCGTCTCCATGTTTTGTTTTTATAGACCACAGACACCTCCCAGCTTCCCATCCCTAACTCACAAAGAAAAAACAAACCAACACAGCCATCAGAGCTGACAGGGTATGCAACGTTCAACACCCAGAGTCCCCCCCTCTCCCCTGGAAGGGCCATGATCGCACACTGGAGCTGAGCCTTGTTCTAACAGACGAGGAGCTGAGGGGAGGGAGGGCAGGGCCTTTGGTCCAAATCCCTCAGCCACACAGCGTTTTCATTAACATCATCGGAGTTGTTTTATGGGGCCGAAGGGCCCATATGTGAGTGTATGGACTCAGTCTGCAAGATGGATCAGAACGAAAAGTTCCGTAAATGAAGTCCTTCACTTACATCAGTTTGAACCATTTGAGGCCGCTGGTTACGGATCCTGGAAACAAACTCAAAGACGTCGACCTTTTGCTCAGCATGCATCATATCTATGATGGCATCGATGACGATGAAGGTGCCCATCCGGCCCACACCAGCACTGACAGAGGAAGAGGAAGAGGGAGAGAGAGAGGGGAGAGGGGAAGAAGGGATGGACATGGAGAGGGAGAGGGAGAAGAGAGGACAGAGGGAGAAAAAGAGGGGGAGAGGGAGATGACGTGGTGGGGGGAGGGGGAAGGACAGGAACAGGGAGGGAGAGGAGAGGAAGAGGGAAAGGGGGAGAGGGAGAGAGAGAAGGAAGGAGAGAGAGAGCCATTACATATTACACTTATTGGCAGATAAACGGTCTCGGGGGATACGTAACGAAGCTTCAGCACTTTCTTCCAGGGCTCAGACTCCATGCAGGGATTCCAGTCAAGAATCATTGACTTTAAACTTTGGGCCTGTCCGTGCCAATGAAGGCATCGGTGCCGATCTGCAGTGATGCCACTAGAGGGAGACCTGTCCTCAAAAATGATCCCCACGTCTGTGGCCCGAGTTTTCAGGAGAAAGTTTGGGGCACAACCTGGGCTAGTCACCTCAACTGACCTGACTCTCATGCGTGGGAGAAATTCACTGCAGCCCAGGAGGCCGGTACCTGGATTCTGAGCCACTGGATGAGGACACCCCCACCCAGGCCAGAGAAAAAGAGATCCTGTTTCTCTCCCTTGTAAGGTTGAACTGACGAGAAGCTTGTAAAGCACTTGACAAGCATTATTATCTCATTTCATCTTCACAACAACTCTGGGAGGGGGGTGCCATTATTATCTCCGTCTTACAGATGAGGAAACTGAGGCCGACAAAGGTGAAGTGACTTGCCCAGGGTCACAGAGCTAGGAAGTGTCTGAGGCAGTAATAATGATGATGATGATGATGATGACAGTAGTATTTGTCGTTGCTGTTGTTACTGTCTTTAAGGTTTAACAAAGTGCTCTCCCCACAAAAATTCTAGGAGTCAGATATTACAAGTTTTATGATACCCATTTTACAGATGAGGAAACTGAGGCTCAGAGAACCTACAGTCTCACAGCTAGTAAAGGCTGAAGGCTGGACTCAGAGCCACTACATTGGGCTCAACTCCAAATCTAGGACCTTGACTACCAGAGCACAGATTTAGAACCAAGGGACCTAAAAGCCCCATGCAATCCAATGCCCTCCTTATTTTACAGATGAGGAATCTGAAGCCCAGGGTGGTTAGGTCACTCACCCAAAGACACAGAGATAGTAAGTGTTAGAGACAGGACTTGAACCCAGGCCCTCTGTCTATAGACCTGTGCTCTTGCCTCAGGGCAGCCATGGCATGATAAAAACTCAATACATACTTAGTTGGCACCAGGCCTGGCCTGTCTGCTGATTGCAATGATAAAAGCCGCCCCCCCCCCCCCACCCTGCGGAATTCCCCCTGCCAAATAGGGGAATATGTAATATTTTTTTCTTCATCATCCCTACCACCTGGTCTGCTTTTGTGAAGGCTGTAAACAGTTTCAAGAGGTCCAGGGGAAGGGTCCAAGGATGGACTGCCTGTGGCGCATTATGAGAGCGGACAGACGAGAACCATGCTCCTGCATGGGCAGGCATGGCGGGGTGGCTCTCGATCAGTGGAGGGCATATCCATCCCTACCCATCCAAGTATCTAAGCAGACGTTTTAATGCAGAGATGGGCTAGTCCTTAAAAAGAGAGCTCTTCCCATCTTCCCCAACACACCAAACCCCCTGTCTCCTCCAAGGGCTAAAACCTGATCCTTCCTTTTCTAGCTGAGTCAGGATTCTGGCTGAGCAGAGAGGCAGGAGAGGTAGGCTTCCCTGGTGGTGGGTTCATGGTACGAAGGCCTTTTCAGGTTAGACTACAAGGACTTAGGAAGATGGGTGTCAGAGCTCCCAGGGTCCCTGCACTCCACTTGGGATTGATAAACAGAATACTGATGATAAAAAGGTCACAACAGAGGCACCTGCCCCAAGGCTTCCTGGTGATGGGGAGGGGAGGCAGGGTCCTTGAATGAAGGCTATTGCTAAGTCTCACAGACTCTGGACTTTGACCCTAGGCCAGGTGATGGAGGGTATGGCTGCTGTCTGGGGCCCAGCCTGAGTGTGGAGGGCTCCCCCCCAGAATGGCCATGCAGGGAGAGTGAGCTGTGGGAAGGGGAGGTGGTGTGAATGGATGCTTTGGCCATGGACACTTTCAAAGGCCATCCTTTAAAGTCTAAGGGGAGGGTGAAGTTGGACTTTAAGTGAAAATATCACAAAAATACTTATAGAACCTTTGGAGATCTTGGGTTGAAGGATGATACCAAAGTGCTACTAACAACCCCAGGACATGAATTTGGAGAATGAGAGCCATCGTCCAGAATTAGAGACTCTTCTCCCAAGGCCAGTGCAGTGTGATCCACCTTCCAGCTGCAGTGACTGGTGAGACCTGCCTGTTGGGTGTTAGAGGGGCTGCAGTCTGCATTACAGGAGAGAGCGGTCCCATGGGAGACATCACAGGTCCTTGGACTGGACTGGACTAGATTGGAAAATGTCACACTTTCTTTAGAGAAGGGATTGAATCAATGCCGATCCCTCCGCATCAGGCAGAAAGAGAAGATTTAGCTCAGGTGCCAAGGTGCTTCCTGGCACACCCACAGCTCCTCCCCATGAACTCAACTCTGGAGTTCAGATGCTGTCATGGCCTCCTGAAGGAGGTGAGGAGAGCTGACTAGAAAGCGCCTCTGTAGCCCTGCCCCTTCTCTGGGCGTTCAGGGGTGGGTGCCATATCCTCTACTTATCACCAGCCCCATGTCAGTCTAAGGATTCGGGTTCACCACACGGTGGTGGTCAGGAAGCTTCCTAGCACATCTTTGCAGGGGCATGGGATAGCTCATCTCTCAGAGCTCAGGCATGATGCACCTTTAAAGGCCAGTGGTCACTTTCACCAGTTCCAACATTCATAATTACAAGGAAATGCTAAATTTTAGAGGTTAATGAAAATTTAAAAAGTAATTTTTTCCCATCTAAGTTCCCCTGAAATCTACCCAAGGTCCCCAGATTGAGAAGTCCCAGGCTAATCTATGGAGAAAGCTGTGATCTATATGGATTGGGGCAGTGTCCACACAAGTGAAGCTCACACCTTTTGAAATACCACCAATCAGTGGGAAGGTCCCCAAGTGCCGATATCTTGTAAGGAAAAAAATTATAGGACATAGCTCTAATATTCCTAACTCAGCCCAAAGTGAAGCTCGTTCGTTCATTCATATCACCACTTGTAAAGTACTTGGTTCTGGGAGACATAAACCAAACAAGGGTCCTTGCAAAGATGTCCTCAATCCCCTGAAGACAAACGGAAAGGTTGCCTGGGATCAAGCCCCAGAAGGTGCCTCAGAGATCCTCCTCAGTATATGGAAAAGGCAGCTTGGGTCCAGCCAGGGAAAGGTATTGGTCAAGATCAAACGGGCAGGAATTCCCATGGGCTCAACAGGGCCAGAACAAAGCTTGTTATCCCTTCCTCCACTGAGCTCTCCTGTTTCTGCCGAGGGTATCACCATCCTTCCAGTTTCCCAGATTTGCTACCTCATGGTCACCCTTGACTCTCTCCCTTATGCCCCTGTAACCAGACAGGTGCCACGTCTTGGTGAATTCATCTCCACAATCTCTCTCCTGCCTGTCCCCTTCTCTCCACTCTCTTCAGAACCACTCAGATCTTGGGGAGAGGAATGGTGACCCTCACTCAAGGAATGACTCTTCTCATACCTGGACACACCCTATACATCCCAGGAATTCCATACTCCTGTAGGACATTATCCAAATCCTATTCCCTGTTTCCCACCACTCAATTCCTCCTTCCCGTCCCCCCCTCAACCCACTCAAACCAAAGTTTCTTCCTAACCCCACCCACCCCTTCCACTGTGCCCTCTGGAATTCCCATGCTATAGTCCACAAACTGCCCTTCCTCCTAAATATTTCCTCCTTCCATTCTTTCCACCTGTGAGTTATTACTGAAACCTGGCTCCTCCTGATGACACAGCCTCCCTGGCCACCTTTTCCAGTACTGGCTGCACCTTCACTCTTTCTCATCTCATCAGCTCTTTGGTTGAGGGGGTAGAGTTGGAATACTCTGAGCTCCCCCATTACCACTGCCAGGTTCCCTCCCCACCTCCATTAACTCAGTAGCCTCTCCTCCTTGGAGGTTCATATTCATCTTTACCACCCAACCAAAATCCTGGTAGCTGTTGTTTATAGCCCTCCAGGTCACTCCCTTTCCTTTCTCAATGAGTTTGGTACCCAGCTCACAATTTTCCTCTCCTTCAACATACATGTGGACTTTCCCTCAAACACCCTAACCACTCAGTTCCTTAACCTACTCACCTCCCACAAGCTACTCCTTTACCTCATCTCAGTCACACACAATGATGGTCACACCCTTAATCTTGCCATCACCCACAATTGTACCACCTCTGTGTTCAAAAATTCTGAAATTCCTTTATCCAACCATAACCTATTGGCTTTCCATCTCTCCCTCTGCCTTCCCTTGCCAAACCCTGCTCTTCTCCCACACCATGACCTTGAATCCCTTGGTCCCTCAATTCTTGATCTCTCCGACCTAGCCACTTTCTCCTCTTCTCTCTATCTTGACCCCTTGACGAATCAGTTTACCTTTATACTGCCCTCCTCTCTTGTCCTACACCCAGCCAAGCCTCAGCCTGGGATCACTCCCCATTCATCATCTTCACTCTTACACGTGTTGCTGAATGAAAGTGGAGAAAATCATGTAACCATTCTGATTGGGTCCACTACAGATTTATGTCACATAACCTCAACTGGGCCCTCGCTGCTGCCAGGAAATCTTTCCATGCTTCCCTTATCAGGCCACACTCTTACTCTCCACCTAGGCTCATGCAAACCTTCTGTCCTTCCTCAAAACTTTCATGGTTTCCCTCCCCCAACCCTCTCAGCTGAGAACCTTGCCTCATATTTTTTAAAAAACTGAACCTAATTGTGAGCTCTCCTCCTCCTCATCTCTCATCACTCAGGTGCCTTCTGCCCTTCTCTCCTTCAGCCCTGTCTCACATAATGAGGCGGCCTCACTCCTTGCCCAGGCTAACCCTTCTACCTGCTCAAGTGATCCCATTTCATCCCATTTCCTCTAAAAGATGGCTCCCTCTGCCATCCTCACCTCTTTTACTGATTTTCAATCCCTCCCTCTCTACTGGCTCATTTCCTACTACCTACAAACATCTCCTGCCTTCCCCATCCTCAACAAACTATCATTCGATCTTTCCATCCCTGCTAACTCATGTCTTATTTCTCTTCTACCCTTTGTAGCTAAACTTCCTGAGAAGGCTGTCTACAATAGGGGCCAACATTTTCTCCCTTCTCATTCTCTTCTTAACCCCTTACAATATGGCTTCCAACTTCATTATTTTACTGAAGCTGTTCTCTCCAAAGTTACTAGTGAGCTCCTAGCTGTCAAATCCAATGGCCTTTCCTTAATACTCATCCTTCTTGACTTCTCTGTAGGCTTTGATATTGTAGATTATCCTCTCCTCCTTGATACTCTCTTCTCTCTAGGTTTTCGGGACTCTCCTTCTCCTTCTAGTTCTCGTCCTACCTCTCTGATGGCTTCTTCTGTCTCCTTGGTTGGATCCTTCTCCAGATCATGCCCTCTAAACTTGGGTGTCCCTCAGGCTCTGTTCTTGGCCCTCTTCTCTTCTCCCTAATAACATTCCATTTGGTGATCTCACCAGCTCCCATGGATTTAATTACCATCTCTATACTGATAATTCTCAAAATTACCTCTCCTGTCCCATGTCTCTTGCCAGCCTCCAAATCTCCCAACTGCCTTTCAGAAACCACTAAGTAGATGTCCAACAGACATCTTAAACTCAACATGTTCAAAACAGAACTCATTATCCTTCCCCGCTAGCCCTTCCCCTATCTTCCCTACTACTGTTGAGGGTATCACCTTCTCCAGTCTCTCCGAACCTAAGAGTCATTCCAGATTCCTTGCTGCCTCTCACAAGTCAAGACTTGTCAGATTTCACCTCTGCAGCAGCATCTCTGCTTGACTTCACCTCTGCAGCAGCACCTCTGGTTGATTTCACCTCTGCAGCAGC